ATTTTTTTTGCTTTTACTTAATCATGTTCTATGAGCTAATATGGTCTATTTTGGAGAATGACCTGTGTGCAGCCAAAAAGAATGTATATTCTGATTTTGTGGGATGGAACATGCTCTAGACATCTACTAAGTCCATTTGTTTAAAGACTTGGTTCAGTTCTGTTATTTCATTGTTGATTTTTTTGTCTGGATGATCTATTTGTGTCAGTGGAGTATTGAGGTCCCCCACTACAATTGTATTAGTGCTTATTTTGTTTTTCATATCCATTAATATTTGTTTTGTATAGTTGGGGGCATTAGTATTCAATGCATATATATTTATACTTGTCATTTCTTCCTCTTGTATTGTTTCCTTTACAAGGATGTAGTGGCTTTCTTTGTCTTCCTTAATTAGTTTTTATTTGACATCTACTCTGTCTGCAAATAAGATAGTTTCCCCCACTTTTTTCCAGGCTCCTGTTGCATGGAGAACTGTTTTCCATTTTTTCACTCTAAGTCTATGAATTTCTTTGTGGATTAAATGAGTTTCTTGTATACAGCATATTGTTGGATTTTGCTTCTTAATCCATTCTGCCAGCCTGTTTCTTTTGATGGTGAATTGAGTCCATTAACATTGATGGTTGTAATTGTTATGTATTGACTTTTTATTGTCATGTTATTTTCCCATTGTTGGTTCTTTTATTTTTTATTTTTCTCTCTCTCCCTTTAATTTCTTGCCTTGCCTGGTATATTTGCTCTGTTGGCCCTTATGGAGTTGTGGCCTTCCTTTTCTTTTTCCAGGATATTCTTTAGAAGTGTTTGGAGGGCTGGTTCAGTGTTCATGAAATTTCTCAGGTGTTCATTGTGGAAGTATCTTATTTCCCCATCAGTTTTGAAAGATACTTTTGTAGGATACATCAGTCTAGGTTGGAGGTAGTTTTCTTTTAGGACTTGAAATAGCTCAATCCAGGCTCTCCTTGACTTGAGGGTTTGTGTTGAAAAGACTGCTGTGTTTCTGATGGGCTTCCCCTTGCATGTGATTTGTTTCTTTTCTCTAATTACTTGTAGTATTTTGTTCTTCTGTTGGGTTTATGGGATCTTGATTATTATATGTCTAGGTGTAGATAAAAAATTTTACATGTTTAAAGATTAGAGAAAAATATTACTTTGAAAATAAAAAATACAAATAGAAATAGAGGACCTCCTTCAGGATATGCCTCTGTTGACACAATACATAGCCTGGGCAGGAGTGAGAAGGTCTGAGCTAATTAGCCTCAGTGAGCCAGCAGCTGTCCCCTGAGATTCAGGCTGATTTCTGGCTGCAAGGCCTAAATTGAAGTCTCTGACCTCCTGCTAAGTTGAACTCTGCAAAGGTCTACTGCAGGTTCCAGCTGTCTTTAGAACAGGTTATGATGTGAGGTGCTGGTCCCTCCAACTTACCAACTATGGTGGTATGGTGTGCCTTTATCGCAGATATTTTCTCCACTTTTCCAGTGGGCTTCAATTTATATCTAGGAGCCTCAGGGAGGCCCTCTTTCTCTTGTTCGTGGGGGTGGGGGACACAGATGGGTAGGGACAGGACGGGACACGGACACCGCTGTGTTGGCACCACACAGCTGGGTTCTTCTGCTGAGCTGAGCTGAAGGGGTGGGCCTAGGCTGCTTTGGTGCTCTTTTGTTGCTCTGCTCTGAGAGGCGGGCCCACCAGAGGGTGGTAAGCTACTGCCAGTCTCCTCTGCTGTGTTGGGCCAAAGGAGCAAGTTGCCTCTAATTTTAAAAGCTTCCCTATGGTACCTGCCTTGCAAGCACAAGAGTTTGATCCCCAGTACCTTCCCTTCCCAAAACAAAGCTTCCCTTGAGTTGGACTTGGTGGCACACACCTGAAATTTCAGCATTCTGGGAGGCTGTGACAGGAGGATTTCAAGTTTGAGCCGAGACTCTGTCTCAAAATAGAAAAAGGGCTGGGGATATAGTTCAGTGTGAAAGCCTTGGTTTTGGACCCCAGTACCACAAAAAAGCTTTCCTTGAACCCATGTCTTCTAGTTCTCAACCTCTCATCTCCCCTTTTCATGCAAACTTTTTCAAGTGAATTTACTTTCTAGCTCTTTCTCTTCACTTTCCATTTTCTTTTCAAGTACCTCAGTTTGCCTTCTGGCTTTCCCATTCCAAGTTAAAGTTACCAATGATTTCTTAACCACCATATCTGATGGGATGTGTAAGAACTCATGTTTTATTACACCCCTGTGCATATGATGCATTTTTTAAACATCTGTGGTATCTAACCTCCCATGCAGTAGTCACACTCTCTTAACTATCCTCATCTTTATAACTTCTTTAGCTCTCCTATGCATGGCGAGCCTCTCTTTTCATCTCTTTTATGTTTTGGTATTTCTTACACCATAGGCTTAACTCTACTCTCATTTTACATGTTATCTCTGAGGCAGTGCACTCATGTTTATTTGATTGAAATTGTTTCCACCTTGCTGGTTTTGACTTCCAAATCTTGGACATTTTGCCTAATTTTCAGATCCTTCTTGCTAAAAATGTGCACTATGATGCCATTCAGCCCCCCTTAAACCTTATGTGGCTAAGCTGAAGTCATCATGTTCCCTAAAAAATATCCTCCTTTTAGCTAGGTTTATGGTCTCATCATCTACTACTCACTTAAATAAGATATGTGAGGGCCTGAACATTGCCTTTTCTTCCCTTCTCACTTAGTCTACTACAAAATGTAGTTTGCTTTGCCACCTATGTAGCCCTCAATACTACTTCTGCCTTTGCATTCCTGATGCCAGGCAAGAAGATCTTCTGACCCAGAGATGGTAGAAAAGAGACTGGACCAGATATTGCAAGCACACACCTTCCTGCCTAGGCAAAGCTTCATTCTTTATTGGGGGCTTCAGTCACATTGGAACTTCAGGTGAAAGGATCCATCAATTTGTTGAGAGACAAAGAGTGACCACGCCATTGCTCCTAGAACAAAGAAAGCAACAGATTTTTATTGATTTCTTGGAGTGGGCTAAATTCCAGTCATTTTCATTGTCCAGCAGAACAATTCCAAAAGATGTTTCTTCTTGTGATGGATTCACACCTGTGGGGAGTATGGTCAAGTTGTTCTGGAGGCTATTGAATTTTTCTGTGTCTAGCTCCATCATCCTGTGTGAAACATACTGGCCCAGTGCTTGGTGGGATAATAAGTGGTCAGCTTCATTCAGAAAATGCTGAGTTACTCTTACTGGTGGTATCATCATATTCCATAAATACATTGGCTTTATAATTGGGCTGACCGACTTTCAGTGTTTAAATTGCTGGGAAAGCACAATGGTGGTGCCAAAGAAACACACACTGGCTATAATGGGCAATAGGCCAAGGACAAAACCTTTTAAAATGATCAACATGTCTACATGCAGAGCTGAGCAGATTCAGACTCAAGGGTTAAAACAACAAAGGGGGCAGGCACAATAAGAAGACAGAGAGGCCAAGCTTTTCATCCCATTTTAGTCACCCACCAGACATCTGAAGACCCAAGTGAAGACTCAGTGTTCTCAAAAAAAAATAGCCTTTGGATCCCTGAACTGTAACCCAGGCAACTCATTTCATGTCAACATCCTGCCTTTGGGGATTTTATCATGGTCTTATGAGGGATCTGTTTAAGCATTTTATGTCACAAAGTAACATTTTACTGTGTCTTGGAGTTTATTCTGTCATTCTAGGCTTTAGTCCCAGCACTGTCTCACCCATCTCCTAACAACGATGGCCTTCTAATCACTTTCTCTATCTCCATTCTTGACCTGCTCTAACTCATCCTTCACATAGCCAGCAGAAGTTTGCAGATTCATAATCAAGTCTGACAATGACATGCCCATGCTTGAATTTTCCCATGGCTTTCCATTTTTATTTACAAGGTGAAGTGCATGCACATTAATATGGCATAAGGTCTTTTCATGAGTAACCCCTGTCCTCTGGTTTGAATACTTGTTCCTTGGAATTAATGTGTTAGAAACTTAATCCCCTAATTCATATGTTAATGGAATTTGGAGGTGAGACCTTTGGGAGGTGATTGAATCTTGAGGGCTCTGTCTTTATGAATTGATTAATCCATTCACAGATTAATGTGTTATCATGGGAGTGGCCTTGCTATAAAAACATGATGTCTTTGGATTGCTTGCTTGCTGTCTCTTCGTGTAATGGCCTCTGTCATATTATAGCAAAAATGCTCTCACTAGATGTTAAGCAGATGCCAGAGCCATGCTCTTGGTTTTCCTAGCCTTCAGAATCATGAGCTAACTAATACTCTTTTCTTCATAAACTACCCACCTGAGTTATTCAGCACTGCCACATACAGTGGAGTAAGACACTGTGATTGCATCTCCAAGTTTGCTTCCTGGCATTCTGTGTCACTATTAATTCTTCCACATCAAGGAGTTTCTTTTCTTTCTATGCATACCATATTATTTCTCAACATATAAGCACACATAGACACACGTGCTGCTTTTCCTATCAACTTTCCAAGTTGAACGCCATCTCTTAATTCAATCCCAAGACTCTGCTATTTGAGAAGGGCCTTACTAATGTCGGGGGGAGGCAGTTATTGGCCCATAATAGGGATTCTGTGATATTTGTTGAATCAATGAGTGAATAGATGAATAAACCAGGCAGTTTATTCTAGGAAGTTTATTCTAGGAGTACAGATTTGCCTGTAGATTGGACTCCTCTGAGCTTCCACTCATAGTATGAAGGGTGAACTAGGAATTGTGTTCTGAGACCACAGTATTGATAGCCTATATTTCCCATGCTATTGTATTTTCAATTTGTTTTGTTATTTTTCTGGGGTGGCATATAGGAAGATTTCTCCAAGGACTCACATGTAAGAAATAGTATGTACAGTGTATAATTCTGAAATTATTTGCATAAAACTAAAATGTGCATAAATAAACTTATTTATTTTCAGGCTGCCGTAGTGGATGTTACTTTCTGATTTTTCTCTTCTTCTCTATACTTTCCATTCTCATTGCCTTACAGATACTTGATAAGAAGAGACTCCTCATAAAGGGAAAGAAAATCTTGGAGCTGCAGAGACTGAGAAACAAAACAGTGGTCATTGAAACCTGCATCTTTCTGGATTTTTGTAGAGCATTGCATTGGGATGGAAGATGTGTCCAGTTTGGAGATTCTCTCTCTGGGGGATTTCCCCTCTATTCTCCTTTTATTGTCCACATTCCAAGTCTCTAGTCCCCACCTGGGACTTGCTCTACCCTCCAGAACATCTGTGAAAAATTCATACCAAGGTTAGTCCTGGAATATATGGATTCAGATGCATTGTCTCATGTTTGCTCCTTCCCTGAAACACAACAAGCAAAGGAAAGACCTTCAATTAGCTTATCCTTAGCAGAATTTGAGATCAGGGAGAGGGAAAAGCATGGGTTAGGCAGACCTTTTTTGTGTGTCTTCAGGCCACATCAGAGGCAGTTATCTACTTGACGTATTAATCAAGAAAGGAAAACATTTGTTTCTGAGCAATAATTTTTAAGATTCTTTAGGCTTCCTGTATGTTCATTAGGTGCTTCCAATCACCAAGACTGCAGAGCAAATTTGGGACAGAGTGGCAGTGACAAAATTATTATTATTATTAACTGTTATTATTATTACTATTACTATTGTTATTATTATTATACACCCAGTAGCTTTTAAACATAGGCTGTTCCAGAGGTTAAGGAACAATTTTACAATGGAAAAGATAGTGTGTGAGGACAAGGACAGCAGGGACGCTTGCTAGTAAGTGGTGGACTCATTCTTCCTCTTGCCATTTGCCGCAGAAACATGAATCATGAGCAGATCTTTCCATATCAAGGAGGGCTGCAGAATCACTCCTAGACGTTCCCAAGCATGGGCTGAGAGTGACTGAGATGTCCACATTCCCTCTCCTTACTTTTAGGGCCCTCACATAGAAAGCCCCAAGACTGTGCTTCAGTGGATTCTATGGCTCTTAGACCAGCTTTCCTTAGCAATTTGGTAAAAGATAAAGGAATCGGAAAAGTGCTAATGGAAGTCTCATGGATAGAGGCAGTCTGTAGACGCACAGCTTGACAGATAGAGGGGACTGAATACGTTGGGATGGGGACAGTGGGATATTGAATGTTTTCTGAGGTGTGTGTTACATCTTCTCCACCTTCTCTCTTTCCCCCAGTCTGCTCAAGGAGCAGTAGAAATCTAAGAGGTACAAATCCAGTGGTATATTTTGTTAAAGGAAACATTAATCTGTTTTTGATTTTAGGAAGTTATGATTCTTCAGATAGGATAATGTTGTAAAAGTATCCCTTACGTAGGAAGGCTACAGGTTCTGAAATCAATTCTCAAACTTCCCGGTTCATTTTAAGAAGCAACCACAATTTTAATCTCAAGATTGTAGTCGATATGTAAAAGAAAGCTTAAGACCATGTTCATTTATAGGTGTAGTAATTCTAAATAAAATGTTAGCAAGGAGTCTAGTTGATAATCAGCTGAGGGAGTCTTAAAAAGTGCAAGGAAAAGATGAGTAGAAAGACATTAAAGACATGTTCTATTTGACACTGTACTTGGAGGTTCTCGTGAGATAATTATAAATCAAGAAATGAAAGAGAAGAAGGCTGCAGAAAAAGGTGAAATTATGCTATCATAATAAGAGGTACGAATGGATATGAAAATGAATTTAAGGCCAAATACTGGCATTCCTTTGTGATGGTCTGCCACTTACATGGAAGTGAAAGCTGGAAAATTATGTAAGTGTAAAAATGAGTAAATGGTATGTAGTAATCAAGAGACCTGAGACCTAGTCCAGTTTAACCACTTATTTTCTCTGGGGTTGTAGAGAAATCACTTCACTTCTCTGTGAAAGGAGGTGGTAGGTCTAGATCAGTTGTTTTCAAACTTCATAGCATACGAATCCCCTGAGGATTTTGCTGAAATGTGGACTGGCATTCAGTGGGGCTGGCATGAGCTTTGCCACTTCTGATTAGCTTTTGGGGGATACTGGTGCTGCTGTGCTGTGTAACCACAGTCTGAGTAATAAGGATCTAGGCGATCTTTATGTCTCTTCCAGTTCAGTTTTACCTGGTGTTATGGCATGTTCTTTCACAGGCAAGTAGCCAATGCTTCCTGCGTTGTAGGAATGAAGGTAAAGCAATCACAAGAACTACTGTAGTAAATGAGAAAAAAATCAAGAGATGTGGGCATTAAGCAGTGGAGTGTACTCCGTGACTGAGTGAGTAAGAGAAGCAGAACCAGGTCAAAGTTAGGGAATGAATCTCAGCCTAAAGGATCTGATCAGAGACAGAGGAGCAGTAATGGAGAGAATGCTGTGAGAGTGAAGACACTTAAGGAAGCAGCCCTTAGGGCAAAGGAACAAAAGGGGCTAGAGCATTGTTAGCCTCATTTGGTTCCCTGAGGGCCTTTTTTTTTTCTTTTGGTACCGACCGGGGCTTGAACTCGGATCCTTGCGTTTGCAAGGCAGGCCACCAACCCGGGGACACATTGTTACTCTGACCCTTGATACTCACCTCCCCCATTTTGCTTCTCTAAAATGCCAAGGCAGATCCCGGCTTCACCTGTGTATCTTCTAGTGCATTCTAAAGGTGCTCAGATGTTGGCTGACTATAGTCTGTCGGGAACCATTTTACATAATTTTGGGGAAGAGGTCATTTCACAATTGGATTATGATTAGGACTGTCTGAGACCTCAGTGGTCTATGAGTGTCGGTGACACTCAAGGGTGAGATTACATCATCTGAAGACCTCCTGATTCTTTGAGAACTGAGTAATAATACAAAAAGAGAATGTTTTTCACAATAGTTTCATGGCAATAATGATTTAGTAAGTCATTTAATATTAAAAAATTTCTGTGAGACGGGCTTTGTTGTTCAACGTAAAAAAAGGAAGAAATAAATATTTGGCAGGTTGAAATCACCCAGCTATTTAGTCAGAGAAGAGATCAGAACTCAGGCCTCCTCACCCTTGGTCAGTGGAGTTGACTGTATAGGTTTTTTTTCCTCTCATGAGTTTATTGGTACATTTTAGGTATACAGTAACAGTTACATTCATCATTGGGATCTTGTACCTTTATATGATATATGATGGTACTTTTTCCCCTTTATTTTGACAGGGTCTTTTTAAGTCACTGAGTTGCCCAAATGAGACTTGAGATCCTCCTGCCTCAGCCTCCCAGAGGGCATATGACAGGTCTTGGGACTGTAGAGGTTTATGTCCCTAGCACATTGAATTTTGACTTTGCTTTCATACTCCACTAAGCTGCTGTATCCATTATGGTTATATAATTATCAGTTGCTTTGTTTCATTATTTGATAGCAAAACGTTTTAGAAAATAAGTGCTCTGCCATTTTGGTGATAGTAAGAGTCAGTATTTATCCTTTCTTCCTTGCAGATGGATTTTGTTTATCTTTTGCTGAAAAATCGTTCTTTAGCAGGGGCTGGGCCCTGGAACTGAGTCTTGATTGACTAGGCTAATCAAGACCTGTCAAGTGATTGTTGAGGTAAGAGCATGGGATGAAATTGTGACTGATGAAACATAAAGGGAAGTTGTCTTTGCTTTAAAAAAGGGACACATTACAGAAATTATCCCTTTTCTGCCTCTAGACTTTATATATAGGAGAAGTGAGGCCTGGGATCATGCTAACATGTTGACACAGTGAAACTTGACACAGTATGAGTAGTAGAAAAGAAAAAAGAAAATAGCCTCAGTCCTTGGTGCTATTGAGGCACTGAATCAACAAAGCTCTCTCTTTGGACTTTCAGCTAGGGTTTCTTTTATTTGTAGCCAGAGCATTCCAATAAATATAGAGTGTTTGGAATTTACACTGTTGTAACTGGCATCAAACAACCAGGGTTAGAATCTCAAATATATTACCAGCTAGCTTTGTGACCTTGGAAAAGTTATTTTTTCTCTACAAGCCTAAATTCTTTGTTTTGTTTTCTGTTTTTTGGTACTGGGCATTGAACTCAGGACCTTGCACTTGCGAGGCAGGCGGTGGCACCACTGAGCTAAATCCCAGGCCCTTGAGCATAATTTCTTAAAATAATGGAGAATAAAATACCTATTTCACAAAGTGGAAGTTGAACATAAAATATGAAAATATGTGAAAATTGTTATTATTTCTGCAATACTTATTAATATTAGGTGACATGTAATAATAACAGCACCATAATAAAGTTCCATCACGAGTGATCTTCACTGAGAATGCTTCAAAGTTGACCTATGTTTCCAGGAAAATTGCTCATCGTGACACATTTGTACCCTGTCTGTTCTCCTAAGGGCACTTGTGGAAAAGCTGGGCTGGTTACAGTTTGGAGTGAGCAGTCCCTCACTGGGATATAAAAACAAAAGTGGGCTCATTAGACTGCTGCTAGGGCTACTGATCTTGGGCATATTCCCAGCATTTCAGTGCAAGTCTTGGGCTGCAACACACACTGGATAACTTTTCTGTTTGTCGTTTCTTCTTCTTATTTATTTATTTATTTGCACTGAGAAGTGGATAGTTCAACAAATTTTAGGTCAAACATCGTGTCTCTGATGTATAGAAGAAAAACAAGTTTACGTTTCCAATTGTACTGTATCTGGGCAGCATTGATTACCCAAGTAGAGTTTGGAAAAGACCTTCCCTCTCATTGTTTTCATCCTCCTCACTCACCTGCCTGGGACCACTGTCTTAGGATCCTGTGACCAAAATATAGACTGGGTGGCTTATAAACAAGAGATTTATGTTCATTTTACTGGTTTACTGGTTTACTCTTAGTTTTAATCTCTTAAAGATGTAATCAATCAGGTGGTTAGGAAAAACTTCCAACACTTCTCATGGAAACTCAAATTCTAGGTTTTTCTTTAGATAACACAAGTTCTTTGCTTAGTTATTCCCAAGCTGCAAAATTCTTTCTCCACATTTTCCCCTGTATTCTTTTATTCACTTTTGGATGCCACAGTCAAGACAGAGAGCATAAATACCATTCTTTCATGCATCTGCAGTGAAACACTTAGCAGCAGACAGTAACTCCTCTAGGTCTGTTAAATAGAAGCATCAGAAATTTATATCTCACAGTTCTGGAGGCTGAGAAACCTAAAACTAAGGCTCTTGCATAGTTGGTTTCTAGTGAAGGCTCTCTTCAAGTTACACAATCCTGTCTTCTTGTATCCCTACAGGGTAGAAAGAGTGACAGAGCCCTCTGAGTTTCTTTATATAAAGGCATCTGTCACATATGTCAGATTTCCAACTGCTTTCCCCCCGAAGGTCCCACCTAGGATTTGTAAAGTATCTCTAACACTGCAAACCTTGAGCAGCTTAAAAGCTGTAGACATTTTTTTCTCCCATTTTGTTGCAAGATTAAGGGCCAGAGGAGCACTTCATTTTGTGTGTATTTGTGGTAGAAACAGCCTCTTGTTTCTGGCTGAAAATAAGAATTCTGTGATTCTGTTGAATATGGCATCTAGGAGGCCTTTCTCAAGACTGTTTGTTGTGGAAGCCCTGGAGAGGACCAGTGCAGGGTTTGGACTACTTAATGAGGAGAGAGAGCTCATGGGATCCTTGCTTGGCCCAGTTCCAACCCAGAGCCTGTTTTTTTTAAAAGGAAGGTCAAGAAAGGAGGAGCTGAGCCCATGGACATCTGCCTGGAGTAATCTTTCTAAATTGGTCTTTCTTCTCTGGAGGCTCAGTTTCAAATTTAATTAGCTAGCTAATGATAGTAAATTATCAAAATTAACTGATGAATGTTAACATGCTTTGGCTATACAAAACAGTATACATAATTTCTAGAGGAGTTAAGGTCTACTCTAACTTTAAGGACTAATCTAGGACAAGATTTTTACAATAATAATAATAATAATAATAATCATCATCATCATCAGTACTTCCTTATGGCTTGGACCGAAGTCTAGAACATTGGTCTAGGGGAGTTCCCATACAGTCTCTAGTTTTCCACTGAGAGAAAAACCCTCTCCTTTTGCCAGAGGCATCCCTGGAGGAAAGAGACTTTGTGAGAGAGCCTGTAAGTGTCTTTACAGTCCAGCAAGTAAGACTAAAAAATAAATAAGTACTTATTATCTAGGAAGATGTGTGCTGGGGTGGGAAGGGGTTGAGGAAGCAGGACTGAAGTACCCAGGTAGAAGGAGAGCTCCAGGTGAAAGATGAGAAAGACTTCCTGAGGTGGAAATGGGGGGGTGATCTAGACAGAGTAGCATATAAAAATTATATATATTTAGAGGGGGGAGAAAATTAGTCAGCTTTCTTGTTGCTGACATAATACTTGACACTCACAATTTGAAGGGGAGAGGTCTAATTGGGCTCAAGGTTTTTGGGGATTCAGTCCTTGATTGGCTGGTCCGAGGCAGAAACATGGCAAAAGGGCATGGTGGAGCAAAGCGTCTTAGTTCCTGTGGCTCAGAAGCAGGGGAGGGCAACAGGGCAAAGGGCCAGTTACAATGCCTACCTCTCCATTGCCTACCCAGCTGCACCTAGAAATGTGCTCCTCCAATCCTCTGGGCAGCTTCCAAGCTCATCTACAAGTGAATCAAATTGACGTGGTGGCCGTGGGGGAATGGAGTTGACGAGAATCTAATCATTTGGGAAGTACAAACTGCAAACAGTGTTGACAAGAAAGGATAAAATAAAACAAGATGTAATTAAGAGGCTGAAATTTAAAGAAGAAAAATTAAAAACATGCTTTATATCTTCTGTCTGCCAAACTATCAAAAGGATGATAGTAGGATTTTTATAAAGACATAGTCCATAAGAACAAACAGAACAGGAGAAAAAAATGTAGTAGAAACTTTTATATTTTAGAAGCTATGTAGGTAGTAGATGGAAGAATGAAACTTGATTTAACAGACTGGAGAAAACGGAATTCTAATCATAAACAGTGGAAAACTAGGTAGAAAGCCGATTGGACCAGAGGTTGCTCCCACAAAATCTTAGGAATCAGAAATAACAGACACTTTTAATAGAGGGAAAGGAAGACATCAAACCAGGAGAAATAGTTTAAAGTCTTAAAAAAACTTGAACTCCCAAATCATTTCCTCATCTGTACAAAAAGACACCCTACTTTCACTCTGATAGAAGAAAGGAGGATACCTTCTTAAAAGAACAAATTAGATACCAAGTTAAATTGAGTGCGGGAAAACCGCATTGAAAATATGTTGAATTACTCAAAGTTTCCATGTCATGATCAAGAAACCCCTCCCCTACAAGAAAAAATACGAGAAAAGGAATAAATGGAAACAAAGTCTTTGTAAATAGGGGAGGGTGAAGGGGGTGAAGGGAGGGCAGAGGTATGGGGAAAAAATGAGAACCAAGATCTGTCATATAAGGGTACAAGATCCCAATAATGAATGTAACTGTGCTGTATACTTAAAGAGTACCAATAAACTCAATAAGATTAAAAAATAAATAAAAAAGGGGATGAGAGAGATAGGGAAGGAATAGAGATGAGAAAAAATAAAAAACCCTCCCCCATCTTCATCTCCTACCAGCCCCTCAGAATTTTGACAACCCTATCTTTATACCCAGGAAAGAGATTGGAAGTTCCTTCTCTGGAAATGGGAGAAATTAAAAAAAAATAACCTAAATATACTGACATCAAGTCTTTCCCAGAGAGCCCAGTGAGATGCTAACAATTAAGACCACAATTTCACCCATGGACCTAAAGCTTCCAGTTAATTTCTTACAACATCAAGGATCGTGAGATATCTGAGAAAAGCTACAAATGTGAGCAATGGAGCCTAAAACAAACAGAAACAAGCAGCTTAAGAGGCATAGAACTCCACACATAAAATAAAATGTAACTAAAATCATATCATTAATATGTATAGAGAAATAAGGAAGAATATTTCATTCAACAGGAATATGCTGCTATAACACCCAGAGAGCAGAAATAGAGCCCTTGGAAATTAAAGTTGTGAAGAAAGGAAAATTGCAATAAGAGCTTTGGAAGAAAAAGTTGAATGAACTTGTCAAGGAAGAACACAAAAACAAAGAGGAAATAAGATTTTTTTTTTTAAATCTGAGGATCGAACTTAGGACCTTGAGCTTGTGAGGCAGGTAGAGGAACCACTGAGCTAAATCCCCAGCCCAGAAATATTTTCTAAAAAGCTGTTTAACATCCAAATAGAACAAGTCCCTTAAATAGAAAACAGAGGAAATGACTAACTAGAAGGAAAGTATCAAGAAGTAACTCAGAAAATTTCTTAAGATTCAAGGATAGGAGTTACTAGAGCTTTGTGTAATGAATGAAAATACGACCACACAGAGGCTCATCACTGTAAAATTTCAGAATTATAGGAGCAGAAGCAAAAATGAGAATAAAAGGGAAGGAGTGGTGTCATTCAAAGGATCAAGATTCAAAATGACATCAAATATCTATCATCACTGGAAGCAGGAAAACGTTGGAATGATGCTTTCAAAATACTGAGGGAAAGTGATACAGTTCAGAACTCCATATCAACCAACTCTTACTTAGGGTAAAATAACATTCAGCTACAAAGTTTCTA